CCTGGTGGTTTTACTTGGAGGCTCATGGCGAGAGTGATTTTTGTAAAACCTGAGGCCGGCCAGAGGAGAAAAAGGCTTATTGAGTATAAACCCTAACTACATGAGAGACGAGGACAGATCAGAAATATATGAAAGAGATGCCTTGCTTCCTTGCAAGGCAGAAGCTAACGGGTTTTTTTAAAGACACGAGTCACACAACTCAACTCAAGTGTGAAAGATCATGAAAAGAGCTCTGTGTTGGTCTTGAGAGCCGAAAAACCAGGTCAATGCTCAATTTCGTGGTGTTAAAACAAGCAAGATTAGGGATTTCACATGACCCTCTAATTTTTACGAGTGCTATCAGGAAGGACAACGTTGTAGCCAACGAGACATTATGTTCAAACAAACATTGTTTCAACTATGGAGATTACAAATTGTAACATATTAAACCAAAAGCTTTTATTTTCTTGGAAACATACAGCTCAACATTGCTTACAATGTTAAAGGCATAACTTAACTCAAGTGTGAAAGATATGATATTTTCATGAGGAGAGCTGTATTAGTCGTGAGGCGAAGATTAATCGATGTTTGGGTCCGTGTGGCATATGATCCCGAAAGAGTTAATCAAAGGATGGCTTCCACAGTACTGATGCTTGATGTGATTCATGTTCACCGTGATACTCATACTGGAGATTCGGAAACTGTCTTTTCTATACTTGTACAGATTCAGATACTCTCTAAAGAGTTCCTCGTTGCATATGAAATGGGCTGCATAAACCTGCATTGACGTTTCAACACGACAAACTGTTTTTCTTCTTTATCTGTTTTACCACAGTTTTGCTGGATGACTGGAATAAACTACCTAGTCGTGACAGTCTGATATCTGTTTCAGTCAAAGTTTTACCACAGATGTACCGATGTATCTCCGCAGATGTACATTATGCTTCATACAGTTAAACAGAATCTAATTTTTCTCTACCTATGGATTTTTGGGTTTTCATACTGTTTAGAAATTTTCAGTCAGCAGAATGATTACACAAAATAATTAAATCGTATCCATAATCAGCAAGGGATAAGATAAGCAATATCCAAAGAGAAATACAAAATAATTTTCCATAGCTTGTTTGACCAAAATGGATCTATATCTTGTTGCTCTTCTTTTGCCTGTGCGTCCTTCCCCTTTCTCCAACTGGTCAAGGATACATTCATGTTATACATAGCAACATCTATAGGGAAAAATTATACTTTCTAATCTCCAAAAATTTGGCGAATCGTATAAAGAAGCATGATCATTTTTTTAATTAAACAAAATCAACTCAAACTTTGCGTTGGCTCAACCAAAATGAACCTATATGCATATATGAATGCAGAGGAAGAAAAAGAAAGCTGAAGGCCTAACTTGGGACATTGACCAAACATGAATCTATTTTGGCAAAGTCGAGTATTAAAATGACTTTGATCCCTATATATGGTTTTAACTCTGACCAACTGATTTTAAATTCAAAACAATTGATCATACCTTTTGGATACAAGTCAATCAAACGGAGACAGCTAGACAATGCAAGAGGACACGTGAAGTGGGGATGGTAAGCACAACATGATCCAACATGACTCAACCTTTCCCCAAACCTCACCTCCATGACGCTTTTCCACTTTGATTTGAGCACACCAAATCTTCTTGCTATTCTTCATACACTCTTCCCAAATAAGTAAGAGTTTCCCGCCACAGCTAACTAATTTACTCGAACAAATATCACTTGCGCGATCAATCCTCAAGTGCTTCTCTTTGAATGATTCTAACCCTTGAACCTCTTTCCAAAATTGAACCTTTATGTCATACCACCAGAACTTAAAGGGACTATAGTAACGACGGTAATTTCAGAACCAACAACAGCTACGGATGAGTTTGAGATATTAGAAGACGGAATCGGAACCAACAAATTTCCACTTG